TGACAATATCCTGCAAAGGCATGCAACAAGAGAGGAGAAATTCTACACGAGAAATAAGATGGTTTCTTCAACAAATACACTTTAAGGAAAAAGAAAGTATGCTTAGGGAAACTACTGATCAAAAGAGACTTAAGAGATGATTCAAAGTGCAACTTAACCTGATTGCAGTTCCACTGTGACAAGTCAGTGTGAAAAAGTGTATCAGGCTACTGGGGAAATGAGGTGAACACTGACTATATAGCTGTGCTTATTGGGGGAACAAGGGAGTTGTCCATATACTTTAGACTTACTATCTGAAAACTGTTTTGAAATAATCCTGGAGTCGGGGTAGAAGAAGACGACTCTGAGCATGAGTCGGCACTTGTTGAAGCTGGGTAACAGGTACATGCGGATAGGAGTCTTGCACTCATATATGTTTAAAATCCGTAAAAATCTGTTGGAATTTCTTGAAAATGTTGAAATTATTTTAGGGTGCAAGAGCTAACAACTGTTCCCTTAAGTTTACCTACTTGTAACTCTAAGCTCCAAGAGGGCAGGGAACCAACCCTCCTGTTTGCCCAGCATTGTAGTTATGGTGTCAGCACACAGGAAATAGTCAGTTACTAACTAAGCAGAAGACTGCTGCTTCAGACAGACCAGCTGAAAAATGAGCTGTGCGCTCCAAGCGTTTTGAAGCTGAGGACAGTTTTTAATACAATCAATATTTTTATTTTATTTGGTGTTAGGAATTGAACCTAGGGTCTTGTACATATTAAGTACATACTCTTATCACCAAGCTACACTCCTAGCCCAGAATGAACCACATTAAAAAGCAGCAAACTTTGCCAGGTGTGGTGGTGCACGCCTTTAATCCCAGTACTTGGGAGGCGGAGGCCGAGGCAGGCGGATCATTGTGAGTTCGAGGCCAGCCTGGTCTACATAGTGAGTTCCAGGACAGCTGGGGGTACAAGGAGATCCTGTCTCAAAAAGACCAAAAAAGGAAAAAAAAAAAAAAAAAAGCAGCAAACTGGGGTTAGTGAGACAGCTCAGCAGTTCCAGGGGTCTGACACCCTCTTCTGACTCCTGAGGGCATTGTATAACACAGGTACACTTACATACATGCAGGCAGTACACTCCTACACATAAAATTACAATATTAAAGTATTTCTAAAAAGCAGCAAGAGGTGGGGAAAGTGGGAGTGTACAACTAGGAGAGCTGGAGGGAGGGACATGTAGAGGCCCATGGTGGGGAAGGAGGGAATTCGGGGTATGGGGGGTACAGGGAGGCAATGTTATTGAGGGGAGGGAGCATGCTTGGACTGGGGAGGGAAGAGGGAAGTCAGATGGTGGGGAGAGAGAATAGAGATAAATGGATCTTGGGGGGCTAGGGAAGTCAGGGGGAAATGTATTGCCTCTGAAATCTCCTGAGAAATACATATATGGTGCCTGAACATTAGTCCACATATACACTTGGAGGCTGTATGGCAAGGAACACAGTGCCAGACAGTAGAGCCCTTATGGGTCAGAGTGGTCCAAGAAACTCCCAAAATAACACAGGCTATTTATTGCCAGAAATCTTGATTATCTCCCAGAACTGGAAGATAAGGCCCTACTTTTGAAGACAGGACATACTTCAGACACAGGACTTAGAGCAATAGAGCTGCAACTGACCTGGAAGCCTTCTGGAGGATACTATGCAAGCTGCTAAGGGAGAAAATCAACCCATGATCCAACCCAGTCCTAAAGCCTAATAACCATAACGACCAGCAGAGTAAATTACCTCTATTAGTGCAGTAGTGGCACTGTTATCTGGGGGTAATCAACAGCTATCTAACTGGACTTAAAGCCCTCTCAATGGGAGTGAGCTCCTGGACGGCACTGTAAACAAAGCCAAATACGCATGGCTGGAGAGGTCATAGATCCTAGAGAAAACTCTATCTCTGTCATATTTCTAGGCAAATGAAATTTCTTACCATATGCTAAATATGGATCCTTATATTTAAGACAAGTATAGCATACACCACTCATCAAAGCTTCTTTTTGCAACAGACGGAGGCTACTGCAGAACACCATAACTGGTCAGACACAGAGAATACATCTGGGAGATGTCCAGTCCTAGGTGACATATCTACAGTGGAATTTCTACACCTAAGACTCATGGAACATAGTGGAATGTGGGGTACAGAAAAAAACTAGTGTATCCTTCAACTCTCACCAGTGAAGCCTCCTTAGACAACAGAGTACAATGTACACAGAAGGCCACAACCGGTCAAATTTTAAAGAATAAGAGACTGCAGAGTGTGTATCCCTGGATAGGACTCCTATATTGAGCCTCACCCACCCAGGGCTCAGGAACCATTGTGGAAGATGGGGTAGAAAGATTGTTAGAGTCAGGACTGGTTCATGAACATAGGGAAGCAGAGGCTTTCAGACCACTGGAAGCTTGCACAGTGAACTTGTGGCAATGGTGGCATTGAACACATAATTCCATGCCAACTCAATTAAACAAGGGCCCAAAGGGGAGGAGAGAAATGGGTGGCAGGTCAACTCTGGACTGAGAACTACTGGAGACTGAGTGATGCTGGATGAGGGAGAGTATACCTTACATATGATCTCTAGATGGGTTGACTCAAGTCCAGAGGACAAATTTACACTGAAGGACATCTGGGTACAAATGCTTGACTGGATGGGACTTAACGTGTATGGTGGAATACATGAGGTTCGGTGGGGGATGGGGTGCATGGATGGGGATGGTCCTAAGTTTAAGAACTATTGTATAAAATTACAAAAGCTCAATAAAAAAATTGAAAAATATGTGTCTACATAGACGTGTGACTCAAAGCATTATTCAGAATCAGTCAAGTACTCCATTTACTTAAGCCAAACTTAAAGTACGTATATGATAAACACACACACACACACACACACACACACACACACACACACACACACACACGTTATACTTAACTCAGAAATTGCAGCACTATGTGAGTTATTCATTCTGAGAGTTGTGGTTTTCAAGTGGGTCAGGAATTCTACTTTATAGTTGATTATAGTTTATTAGCACCAGGATTGAAGATAGCTTTAATTTGAGGAAAACTACTGACAATTTGATGCTTAAGACTCAGTGATTCCTGTAAAGTGTTAAATCACAACAGAATGATTGGTACATTTTTCAGTTGTCACCCACAGCCCAAGAGGAGTTCATACATTTCCCTGACTGGAGCACGTGGAAGATCTCATGATATTTCAGAGACTCCAAGAGAAAAATGATGAATTGGAGAACATTCAATGAATGACACGGAGTTTAATCCCAAAAGGAAAAACCATGCTATAGAGAATATTTATATATGAACAGTAAAACTAGCATCTATGACCCAAATGTCTATTCTTTCTCCTGAGCATCACCAGTTTTTTCTTCAACCTGTACCAAATATTAAGCATTTAAAAACACTGGAAAGAAATGTTATAGTATAAAACACTGTTACTGATTTTGGTTTCTCACCCCTGGTTCCTGACCAGAGAACTCCCTTTAAAAACCCTTAAAATTTCCTGAGCAAAAAGGATGCTAAGTGTATCTTTTCTTCTAATGGTTTTTGGCCTCAGTTTCTTAGGGAGTGCCTAACTCCTTAGAAACCCCTGGATGGTTGGTGTGTTTCTTGCTCTAATGAGACAATACTTGATACCTCCTGAATAGGAGTTGAGCACTTGAAAGACAAAGACATAATTAGAAGCTTCAAAGTTTCAGTTTCACCCTTCGTCCTCCAGGGAGGGGAGAAGAACATAACAAATTATGTCATGTGATGAAACCTCAAAGCAAGTCCCTCAACTTTAGAGTCTAGAGAGCTTTCAAGAAGGTGAGACACCTCAAGTCTACAAAGGCAGAAGCTCCTGCATTTGGGAGCCATCCAGGCCTCATGCTACGTACCACCTCCTCTGGCTAGTCATCCGTATCCTGTGTTATACCCTTTTTAATATACTGGTAAGCATGATCCCCTGAGTTTGTAAAGAAGACTGTGGGATGCTTCTATTTGTGTCTGGCTATTCTGAAGCACAGGTGACAATATAGGCTTGTGATTCACATCTGAAATGTAGACAGTCCTGTAAGCCTGACCTCTTAACCTGTGGGGTCTGACACTACATCCAGGTAGTGTCACTGGGTATCAAGAGAGATGGAGAACTGACTGGTGTGAGAAAAACCAAAACATCTTGTGATCACTGTATAGAAGTATAGAAGTGGAAAAAAGCACTGACTTTCAACAAACAGGCAGCCTCGTTAATAAAATTCAAGACAAAATACAGACTTGTTTTAGCTAAGACCAAAAGGGTTGTGTGTATGTGTGTGTGTGAAATAGCTAATGAAATGGCATAAGTCATTACAATTATATGTGTGTGTGTGTGTGTTTCAAATACCTAATGAAATGACTTAAGTCATTACAATTGTGTGTGTATATGTGTGTGTTTCAAATAGCTAATGAAGTGGCTTAAGTCATTACAATTGGCACCTCTGTGGCAAGCAGGTAGAAAGACCATGGCACTGGTCCGCAGGGGGCAAGAGTGAAGGTGCTGAGGATGACCCTGATGGGCAGACAATGGAAAAAGAGAACGCTGTGTGCCAAGCCCTATGTAAGCCTGTGGGCTTCTTAAGCAACATTACTCTGTTTAGTTCAAGATATCCCTTCCCCCAAGGTATATTACCACTTTCACTTTACAGAAAAGCTGATAAGTACTTTGCCTGAAGTCCTATGGCCAATAAATGATTCGAGCAGAATTCAGGCCCAAGGCTGTGTGATAGTGTGTATACTCTCTTTTAGCATCTGCCCTTGCTTCATGAGAGGATTTAATTTTCCTGGACTGCATCATTTCAGTAAAACCATGCAACAGTGCATCCTGAGATCCAGTTTTAGCCATGTACCCAGACAATATGAACAGTGAATGATGTAAAATGTGAATCCACTACTTCCTAACCCAAGAGTCTGGAGTCTACCATGTTTTCTATAGGGCCACTGACAAGTACATACCATGATATCTGCTTCTCTTGTCGCGTATCGAAGATTGGGATCTAGCCAATACATTAGGGATTTAACCTGCTCGAAATTCAGGAAGAGGAGAAACACCAGGAACAGGAAGTAGAGTACACTGAGGCCTGACAGAAACAAAAACAGGTCAAGTTTAGAAGAGACACACGTTAAGACTGGAATGGCTTATTGTCACTGAGAGAATATTATAATGTAGCGTGTTAAGACTCCAGCTCACATGAATATTAGAATATAATCTGTTTAGATGCTAACATAGCCAGGTATTGCTCTGGTGACAGGTTCTGCTATACAGTTCTAATTCAGGTTGAGAGAGGTCAGCAACTATGTCTGAGAAAAAAATGCTTAAGCTGAGCCTTGACAGACCAACAGCCAAAAGCTGTGTAGGGTGGGCTTGGGGGAGCGCACACAACTTTCAAGTAGACAAAAGACCATACAGATCTAGGTCCCTGAAGAGAGGGGGAGGTCCCAATATGTGACTGTGGTGCTGGCAGACAGGGGGAGGAGCAGAAGCACTGAAGTAATAGGCAGGCTTGAGGGAATAGCACAGCTTCCTGATTTTCTCTAGTGGGGAAATAAGATGACTGAGGTAATGTTTTATGAAGCTGACAGAATGGGCTGGAGGTGGGCCAGGCTAGGTGCAGACATCCCAATCTGGAGGCTACTTTCAGACTTTATCTGAGACTTATCCTCCAATTTAGCCAGTTGCAGGCATTATTTTCTTATCATATTTATCATAGTTGTTATCCTAATAACCAAATACCATGTTATTTAAAAAATTAATGTCCCTAATACATTTGAAGGCAAAAGCCTTTAGGTTACATTTCAGAAAGATGTGGAAACCAACCCCCAGGGCATTGTCATTTCTTCTGTTGAGCCTGCTGGAATTAGAACAGCAATGCAGGGCATCCAGGCGCTGTGATACTCATGACCTTGAATCACAATCTTGGCTCAGCTCTGATCTCCAAAGAGCCTCTTTAGAGGAGAGAATATTCACGGCTGGAATGAATCCACAGCAAGGGCTACAGCCCCAGGCCCTCCAGCCCTGACTCTATTTGTCAGGGAGTACATCACAAGGAGGCCCTGCAGGAACAGGGCCAACCCAGCCATGCATCCCAGGGCCAAGGAACATAAATTTTCTGACATTTCAGTACAACAAGTACCATAGGTTTGCATTTATGCACTAGTCAGTTTCACAAATTCACCTTCAATGACTTCCCACTATATCTTTTAAAAATTATAGCCAGGCATGGTGGCACACGCCTGTAGTCCCAGCACTCGGCAGATTTCTGTGAGTTCAAGGCCAGCCTGGTCTACATAGTGAGTTCCAGGACAGCTTGGTCTACAGGGAGACCCTGTCTCAAAAAGACCAAAAAAATAAATAAATAAATAAAAAATAAAAATTATGACCCTTGTGAAATATTTTAAGACAGAAAGAAATGACCTGTGTCACAGAAGTGCTTAGACTAGAGTTCTGGACTGGGTTTTGAGGTCTGTAAAGCCCTGGATAGTTACTACAAGTGAGCGAAGGAGCATGCATTTGTGTTCTTGTGTGTGTGTGTGTCTGTGTGTGTGCGTGTGTGTGTTGGGGAAGGACTCAGGGCAATCATGTTGCCCTCTGTGAAATCCCTGCTGATGTCCTTTGCACCCACCCTCCTTACCTGGCCCACAAGCCTGAACACTTCTGTCTGTGTTGTCTCTGTGCTCTTTCACTATTCTCCCCACATCCACGTGGGCGACTCTGATCTGGCATTCCAGCCATGGGGCCACCTTAGTAGCTTTTTTCTTTGGCTGGAAGGCCTTACTGCCTAATAGTACTGCATGCACAGACCCTTCCTTGTATTCAAGCTTTAGACTGTCACTCCCTCAGACCTTTCTTCACTGTCTAGTGGAAGCAGTCACAGACATCACTGTCACCTCACCCAGTTTTAACTGGCTAATGTTTAGTGACAGCTGTTAATTTTTTAAATTTTTATTTATTATTTTTATTTTATGTGTATGCTAGTATTGCCTGCACGTAGGTAAGTGCGCCCGTGTCATGCAGTGCCCGTGGAGGTCAAAAGAGGCCCTGGGACTGGAGTTACGGACAGTTGTTAGCTGCCATGTGGGTGCTGGGATTCGAACCTGGGTCTTCTGCAAGAACAACCAGTGTTCTTAACCACTGAGCCATCTCTCCAGCCCCTACAGCTGATAATTTTAATTACTGATTTTTTAATAATTTGTTCACTACAGCTGTCTCCTTGTTGTAACTACAAAAGGGGCTCCCAAGGGAAGGATCCTGTCAGTCTGGTCCTCCCAGATCACCTCAGCCCATGTCATACACTCAATGAATAGATGCTTATGAAAACTTTATCAGTAATTCAAAGAGATAAAGAGTTACCTATAATAAATGAAGGATAAAAACAAGACAAACATCCATTTTTAAGAGATCTCTTACATTTTCAAGCAAGATTATACTTTCTGAACCTAAAATAATTTATTGTATGTCTTATTTAGGCAGGATAAAGCCAAATAGTCTAAGTATTAAAGATTTATTTTTAAATCCACTTGACAATTTGGCTTTCTGACCCATAAAATCAAGTAAAAATAAGATATTCAATATTTATATGCTTAACAATAAACTTTGGTTCAAATGAGAGCTCTTTGTTGAAGAGTTCTCCCTTTTCTAGGTTCCTGCCCATTCCTAGCATGAAGAAACGACATTGCTGGGTTTTCAGAGAGGCTGAGAAGACAAACGTGCTCCTAGGATGTACTTGAGCTTGCACTGGTAAACGGAAACAAGAAAATAAGGGGCATTTGTTTAAGTCAAGTTCTGTGCACATTAAGAAACAAAAGTGGCATAAGATGCAGGTGGAGCAGAGAGAAATCGTATGTATGATATTTAAGTAAACAACAATCATTTATTTATGTACCAAAGAAGTTTAATAAGGAAAACCAAAAAGCTTTTAAAAAGTTATAAATGTTTACCTGTAGAATGGGTAAGTAAAACCATTCTACACCATGACACACAGAGGAAAGATTTTTAAAAGCTGGAAGTATTTTCACATCTAATGAAACTCACCAAAAACCATTCTCCATAAAGCCGGGTGAGGTCGAGTAAATGGACCTGCAGGTAGAAAATGACTTAAAGTTAGAATAAACTGTTTTGAACCAGAAAAGGAAGCTCTGCCGACCTGCATATATACAAAAGAACGCTCTCAACTGTTCATTTTTTAAAAATCTCTCTTCTTTCCCCACATCTTCTGAACAGCCTTCCTAATCCTGGAGAACTGCACCATCATGAACTCCACGTGTCCAGGAGGAGATGCCAGAGCTTTCTTCTCAGCAGGCTATAGCCAGGGCTCTATCTTCAGATGCATCTGCACTAGAATTGACCTCAGGAGCTGGTGACAGACCAGTGAAGGATGCAGAGCTCTCTTCCGTGTTTCTCCAACTCTGGCCAGTAGGGGCAGTAGTAGTCAGTGGCATCTGAACTGATAACTGAGGACCTTGGCAAGGATGGTTCCAACAGAATCCATGGGAGAAGTAGCAGTAGGGCAGAGTTCAGCCTATGGTGTTGGGCATTTGCTCCTTAGACCAGTTCTAGGTATCTAGAAGCCTGGTTTCCAATTCTGTGAGGTAGGAACAGAGTCAGCTTCTATCGCTTACAATCCTGAATTTTGTCTGAGGCCAGTATGTAATTTTTATTCTGGAATTCATGCTAAAATTGGCTATGTCTTCTTAAACCAATTATAAGTATCCCCCATAGTCCAAGCCCATTCAGTTACTGAGTTTAGGCAGTGAAAGCTCAGACAGAGAGTGAGCTTGATTTGTGACAGGTGCTGCTTTATGCAAATACATTTGGTTTCCCACACTTTGGATGGCAGCAAGTAGGAGCCTAGATGGGAAGGGGCGCACTGAAAAGGGTGCCAGGAACTGTTCCAATTCTGAATTCTCTGAACACCTACATTTCTTTTTAAACAGCTGCTTATTTTCTCAGAAAGTTCAAGTATACAAACCAGAACCCACTTCCAGGTAATAAAACATAATGTCTTTATCAGAGACATCTTCCTTACTGATGGTAGCAGCTGGTTCTTGACTTGTCACCATGAGTGACTTCTCTATTATGACTGGATGTCCGTCTTATAAATACTACTTAATCATTATCATTAAGTTAACCTTCTGAACAACCCTCATATAGGCCCTTTAAGGTCTTCTGATGACTGGGGGATGGGGGTGCCTCTATTGCTCCAACTGCGTAGATAAGGGTAATGTGACATTAAGAGCTCGTCCAGGGCCACATAGCTCACAGGGTCCCCCCAGCTGTCAGGTTCTACTCTGTCATCAGGCTGAGTGTGGAGGAGCACCTGGTTCCTCCTGTAATGAGCACAGCTGTGGGTCAGCCCAGGGACCATGGAATTCATGGGTTTCAGCCTGGACTAGCTTCCAGGCCAGGGATACATGGTGCCAGAGACAAGCCTAGGGGTGCTTAAAGCTGGTGCACTAGAGAGAAGGGGACAGTTTAGGGTATAGTGTGCCCCTGCTCTAACAACATGGAATCCATTAGCAAGGTCAAAAATTGGGAAGGCTCAAGCAAAGGGCATGAATGCCTCTGGAAGTGTGAGCTGGGGGCATCTCTAGGGTCCTCCACCTACAAAGGAGGAAAGGTGGCCCTAGAATACAAGATGGCCCTCACATCAGTGACTACCAAAATCCAATCTATTATTTCAGGTATCAAAACTGCCTCCCTCCGAAACTATAAGGTTTATCACCCCTGCACACTGCCTTCTGAAAAGAAACCCAAGACTTCAATAAGCATTCTCCCAGTATTAGTAAAAGTACCATCTTTGCCATCAAATATACTTACAATGCTCAAAGAAACAAAACACAACAAAAAAAAAACCTAGGAAGTGTGGTCAATTCTCTATATTATGAACTTTGGTACCTATGCTTAGTAGATCACCCACACTGGGATGCTCAGTCAAGTCACCTTTGAGGGCCCCAGGACTGTAGGGAAATGGCAAGGGAGGTGCCACCTGCACAGGCAATCTGTCAGCTTCCACTTTATCTCCATGCCTCTCTACAAGCCTGACTTCCCAACAGGCATTTCTCAGGGTCGGTGGCATGTTAAAGTGGACCTTCTCTCCCTCTGAGTGTTGCCATGGTTTCCAGATAATTAGGAGGACTCAACCTTACACTGTGCTTCCAATGGGGCCTCCCCCAACCTCTCTTCTTCACTCTCTTCCCTATGTAGCCCAGGCTGGTCTCAAACTCACAATCTTCCTGCCTCAGCCTCCAAATACTTGGATTACAGGCATACATCAACACACCTGGTTCTTTCTCATTTGAATATAACTACATAGAAAGGAGGGGATCTACAGTTAGCCTGCTCATTTTGTTTGTTTGTTTTTCAGACAGGGCTTCCCCCCTGTAGCCCCAGCTGTCCTGAAACTTCCTATGTAGATCAGGCCAACTTGATCTCGCAGGGATCTGCCTACCTCTGCTTCCTGAGTGCTGGGATTAACTGGGACTAAAGGTGTGTACCACCATGCCTGGCTTGCTCTTTTTTTTTTCTGATTCTGAAGGAGAACTGGGAAGGCATTTTAGGGCAGTGAAGCAGGAGCATGCTATTTTTCTTCTAGACCGCATTGTTAGGAGGTGCATTTAGAAACAGTGTTTTATTTTCTTTAGCAACCTCTCCAGCTGTGACAGATAAATTTCAATCAAATATTAAAAGCAAGTTTAATTTCAAAAGAAACAGAAACCCAATGATTTTTGTCATGCAAAGAGGTAGCATTTAAAAACTACCCTAGAAAAGTGTAAAATAAGATCATTGGCTGATAAACCAGAAAGAGTTATACCTATAAACAATTAAGTTCAAGGAATCAAACTTTAGGGAAGTGCAACTCTTTAACAAAAACAAGAAGTTGCCTGTTCCTTGGGGACATGTTTATATCCTTAGGGCACAGGACCCCAGCAAGCCCTCTCAAACCAGCTCCTTCTCTTGATGATTAAAGTTCAAATTCCTCCAGAAAAACTTCCAGTAAAAGCACCTCTAAGCAAATTTCAAACCTAAAAAATAATTACTTTTAAAAAGATTTACTTTACTTTTTTTATTCATGTGTATGTGTGTATGTACACATGTGTGCAGGTGCCCACCAAGGCCAGAAGAGGGCATTAGATACCCTGGAGCTGGAGTTACAGGTAGGGCAGTTGTGAGCTGCCCAATGTGGGTGCTGGGAACTGAACGCCAGTCCTCTGGAAGAGCAGTACATACTCTTAACTGCTGAGCCATCTCTCCAGTCCTAAGAAAGAATTATTTTTAAAAGAGATAAAGTACCAAGGCAGGAGACATGGAAGGTGAGAAAGGAACTTCTCACTGTCAACCATCAAGAAGCTGTGATTAGCATGATCTCAGCCTCAAGGAAGTCAAATGACGAAGCAGAGAGAATGTGCTCTGGAAAAGCAGGAAACACCACTTGCAATCTCTCAAACCACCCAAATCAAGTATGGGATGGTGCTTCTCCTGAACTTCTCTCCTGGTGGACTCATTGCAGAGCTTACGCTACTGACAGGTGGCTGTGGGCCAGGTACTGGGGCACAATGCTATGGCTGGCTCAATTGAGTGGGGTGGGACAAATGATCACCAGGGTCTTCAGAAGCCAGAGGAGCACAGTGGAAGGTCCTCTGCTGGGAGAAGTCAATAGCTAACTGCAGATCACAGTTGGCTCAGTTCCACTTCCATGACAGTCAAAACTGTACTTGCACTTGAAGGTCCTTTGCTATCCTGGGACGGAGGTAGTACTTAAAAACTTTTCTTCTTAAAGGAACCAAAGAAGAACAGAGAGTAGAAAGGAGGAAACGGAAGGAGAGACTATGAAGTGGACATCACATGTTGCTAGTCTTTGGCCTCCTCTCGGGGCATCTCCTACATCTCTTATAGAATACTGTGTCTCCTAACAGGATTAGGAAGAAGCCTAGGAATCTAATCCTTCTTCATACCTGCTCACAGTCAAGGGGAATCTGTTGAGTGTCCACGCCTCTCATTTAACTGGGGGCTGCATTCTAAACCACTCCAGGCAATCCTAGTCCCTTGCTATTTTTCAGTTAGTACACACTTACTGAAATTACTCCTCTGAGTATTATAAATTTCTGTCCTTAGGAAAGGGCTGGGAAAGAGGTGTATGGTCCAATTCTAGTCAAAGAGATTTGAAAGCAAGTATGTTCGAGAGCTTCTAGAAAACTGTTCTTCAAGCTGGGTGTTATGGCAGAAAGCCGCTGAGGCAAGAGGATTAGGAGTTCAAGGCTAGCCTGGGATATATAACAAAACCCTGCCCCAAAAATCAAAAACAGGAGGCCAGAGAAATAGCTTAGTGGGTAAAATACTAACAGTTCAAGTGTGAAGACCTGGATTCAATCAACAGAACTACATGTAAAGCTGACTACAGTAGCACACATCTGTAATCCCAGTGCTCCAACAGCGAGCTTGGAGGCAAAAACAGAATTCTTGGGAGCACATAAGCCATTTAGCCTGGCATACACGCTGGCAAACAAAGAGATCTTAAACATGGAAGTTGAAGGCAAACACCTGAGGTTGTCTGCTGACCTCCACATGTGTACCACGATACGTGTGCCTGCACTCACACATATCAACATGCTCACACACATCAACATGCTCACACACATCAACATGCTCACATACATACACATATGCATGCATGCATACCCCTAAATACAGAGAGAGAGAGAGAGAGAGAGAGAGAGAGAGAGAGAGATTTCAAAATCAGTAACAATTTTCTTTACTTTTAAATAAGACACAGAAGAAAAGCTAAGTTCCTCTGCTACTCAACATTGCCCACCACTGTGTATCCACAACATTAAGGCTAAGAAGCCCAGGCTGGAACCACCCTGCTGTAGGTGGCAGCTGCCAGTTGGATTTTCCAGGCTTAGAGCCAACCAGTCTCTGAAATTTTGTTATATAAGAGAGTAAACAGTTTCCTTATCCTTGAAGTCATTCTGAACTGGGTTTTTTTTTTTCTATTACTCATAGCCCAAAGCATCCCGACTGCTATGGGCCTTCTTTGTTACTTAGACTCAACAAAAAGAATAAGAGGTTTCCTTCACACAGGAGCCAGCCAAATCTGCTACATTGATGCCATATCTGAATTCACACATACAAGATGAGATACTTGGTCACAACCAAAGACACACTTACATATAAAATTGTGGGGAATCTTTGACTAGGTCAAGAACAAATGCCCATGAAATTGCCAAAACAGAGCCATTATGGGCAAGGTGTCCACTTCAGCTGATTCCCCAAAACTGTTTGAGGAAGAACCAGAGTTTGGGGCTTCTTTTCTCCCATTCATTTTCATTACTTCATTTGAGAATTTGCCAAAGGCGGGAGGAATAGAAAATAAGGCAAGACTGGAGCAGAAAGAGGCTTTATAGTTCACTCAGAGAAGGTGCCTTTCCACTGTGCCTTCTGGTGGCCAGCAGTCTCAAAGCTGGCCCTGAGGAAGGGAGCTGCAGACGCCACATAACCCCTATTTGCACTCCCAAAGCTACTCCTAAATCATTCTTTCACATGGAAAAACGATAGTTTTACTACCTGTGCAAAGTGTGTCTAAATGGATCTTTTGAAAACAAGCTATGCAAACACAACATGTGTGCTGTGTACCCGCGGCTTTGAGGGAATCACTCTCAGTCTGCTTCCCCGATGCTACGGTTTGAAATGATTTGTCCCTCGGAAACTCAGGAAACACATGTTGAAATCTGATTGCCAGTGTGGCTGCCTGCTGCTGTGCTGGGAGGCGGGGCTTTTAAGAGGTGTTTAGATGATGAATGCAGCTCTCTAGTTAATTGGTTAATGTTAATTCTCAAGGGTTTGACTAAATCCTTGCTCACAGGACTGGGTTAGTTATCATGAGAATGGATTATTATAAAGCAAGTTTGCCTCTCATGTTCAGTTTTCATAGGAAGGTTCAGATCAATTTGCTAACTTTTACCGATCACAGACTAGGGGTAACAAAGAAGTTCCAGTCTGTGCTGGAGAGCCTCAGTTGTCAACCTGACCCACCTTAGGAGAGAGAACCTCAGCTGAGGCATTTCCTCCATTGCACTGGCCTGTGGCCATGTCTATAGGTCATTTTCTTGATTGTAGAATGATGTGGAAGGGCCCAGCCCACTGTGGGTGGTGCCACCCCTGGGCAGGTGGTCCTATTTGTATAAGAAAGCAAACTGAGCACAGGCCAGGGGAGCAAGCCAGTAAGCAGTGATCCTCCATGGCCTGTGCTTCAGCTCCTACCTCCAGGTTCCTGCCTTGACTTTCCTATATGAATAGACTGTGCTACAAACTAAATAAACCCTTTCCTCCCAAGTTGATTTGGTCAGTGTTTTATCACAGCAATTGAAAGCAAACTAAGGCACTGACCCAACCACTACCAGCCTTCTACAGCATTCAGAGCACTCTAGGCACAGGCCAACTAAGTCCCCACTCTGGGAAAAGAAAAGCCAAGAGGAAGGATAAGAAACACAAAAAGAAAGACAAGGGGAAAAAAGCTAACAAGGAAGGAAAAGAAACACAAGAAGAAAAACAAAACCAGTAGGAACAGCTGACAGGAAAGAAAATAAACAGAAAGAAGGAGAAGGAAGGAAAAACCGCTGTACAGAATAGCAAGTGAAAGCCCCATGAACTGGACGTAATATGAGAGCTGGCTGGAGCAAGGCAGAGGAAGGAAGACGCAGATGCAGGCCCGGAGGCCAAGGAGGTGGCCTCAGATGACAACTGGTGGCCGTGGGTTTCACCTTTCTCATATGGAACTGAGCAGGTTGAACTAAATGAGCTTGGGATAGGTTGCCCCTCCTCACCCAGGTCACAAAGTCTACACAGTTCAGCTAAGCACAAGACAACAGACAAGTGCACGTTTACCTTCCCCAATCAAAACAAAAACACACTACCACAATGAGAGATAGCAGACAGAAAAAGAAAACTTTGACAATTAGACGACTTCACTGGAGGACGGAGGAAAACCCAGCAAAGTAACACCAAATGTTACTTCAGATAGATTGAATCTCCTGACTTCTGGTGCCCTTGGTACCTTGGGAAAAGCATCTGTGCATGAAATCTCCAGGCTCAGCTCTGCTGGAGCATCATGGAAATCAGGCTCTTGAGAGATTCACCTTTTAGAATCCCCAAATTGCCAAAGAGCTCTGGACTCAGAAAACCAAAAAATATGTTCACACATACATATATATAGGCATGCATACACTAAAAGAAAAGCAACCTTCAGGCTTTGAGGAAGTGACCACTAAGAACTATGCAGCAGATAACACAGCCAAGGAAATCAAGAGCCAAAACGCAGAACTGATGCCTCTGGATTAGCCAGTTTCCTGAGCATGTTGGGACATACTGTGCTCTGGTAGAAAACAAAGAAAAGACAGGATGGGAGTCAGAAAAAGAAGAAAAAGCTGGACTAAACGCAGACCTACAATGATGGCTCATGCATGAATGACAGAGAAGGGGCAGACCTTCCCAGGACACAAGCAGTGGAATGCCTGAGCGCCCCACCTCTGACTGCTCCCATTTTGAAAAGCTTTTGTGCGGTAAGCCTTGTGTTGGCATCTGACTTGAAAACAGAGCTGTATTCTTACACCATCCCTGAATGAAAAGGCCAGTCTCGTAGCTCAGGAGAGACACAGTCAGCTACATGGGTGTCACTCCAACATCACACCTTTGAAGGAAAGGATGGGCTATACAATGCATAAGCAAGCTTTCCTTCTAAGCTTAAAATCTGAAGACCTTGCATGTTACAGATGGGAGAGGAAAAGACAGATGGCAAAGAGCCAAAAAGATGCTTGACAGTAAGGGGTGAGTCTTAGCAACTGTAACAGAAGGTCAATAATGTATATCTTGACTTCCTATCTCAGTAACCATGAATTATCAGAACCATCAATCATCATGAAAAATCAGAGTAAATTTATTACATCTGTGTAAGCTATGTAGGCTTTCATATAGCACAAGGTTTCCATTAAAAGCTGAAGAGGGGGCTTGGGAGATGGCTCAGCATGTAATCAACCTCAGGCCTCAACACATACACACACACACACACACACACACACACACACACACACACACACACAATCGCACACATATGACTACAGGAAAAAAAGTTGAAATGTAAAAACGTTAAAATCAGCTCCTAAATAACAGGGCCGTTTAGAATGCTTTCCTTAAATTCAGAGTTTTGGTTTTACACTCTCAGTTTCTATGCTATCACCAAAAACCACATTTTTATAGATATAATACTACTTAAGAAAGCAAAGAGCAGAACAAAATTCCACTGCTGCAACTTGGGAAGCACAAAGGCTCTGTGGAACACTTCCAAGCAACTTTCAATCCATTCACATTGAACTTCCCAAACCACTAGGATGCATGGGATGCTGCACAAAAGATGCATCTCAAAGGATGCTATTTAAGATCTGAGAAATTCCATGGAGCATAGCCTACAAGAAAGACAGGGATAATTCCAGGATCTCAGAGGCATGAGCAAATAGGATACAAAAGTGAGCATTTAGAAATGGGAGAACCAGTATAGAATATTCTAGAGAGGAGGTATGAAAAGAGATTGAGAAAAAAAAATATAGCAATGTGTAAGGGACAACTCAAAGGTATGAATAAAATAGAAGCATGCAACAAAGGCTTTGCCTCAATCTTTCTATAACGATGACAAAGAGAGGAATTCATGGTAATAATGATCTTCCTTCCTGGTGATAAAAGTCCATATCCCATGGGGCTAGGGAGATGGCTCAGTGGTTAAGAGCACTGCTGCTCTTGCAGAAGACCTATGTTTGCTTCCCAACATTTACATTGCAGCTAACAACCATCCATAATTCCAGTTTCAGGGGATCCGAAGCCCTCTTCTGACCTCAAAGGGCATTCATTGCATGGCACGGGTGCACTTGTACAGATAATACACTCACACACAAAAAATAAAAATAATAAATAAAAGATATTTTTTTAAAGCCCACACTCCAAATGCATGGTCAGCAAATAACAGATAACAAATTATTTAAGTCACCCTGATTTACTCATTACAGAACAGGTTCTATCTTTAGCAAAAAAAAAAAAAAAAAACAAAGAAAAAAGAAAGAAAAAGTTAACAGTCATTAAGTATGTATAGCTCGACTGCTGGTGTATGCCTGTAATCCCAGCACTCAGGAGGCTGAAAAGGAGGATCAAGAGGTCAAGGCCATCCTATGCTATTTAGAAAGTTCCAGACTAGCCTTGGGCTACACAGGGAGATCCTGTCTCAAGAAAACAGATATGCTAACAAACAAACAAAGAACAGTTGACATTTATAGAGAGTTTACAATTTGCTATGGTTTGGATGCAGTTTGACCACCCCAAGTGCTCATCTGTAAGAAGCTTGATACCGGTGTTGGAATATTAAGACATGGTAGAAACCAGAAGAGGTAGGGCCTAGTAGGTCACTGTGGATGTTGCCCTCAAAAAGAATAATGTAGTTCTCTTGGGACCCTGGTCAGTTCTCATGAGAGGGTTATTATAATTCAAACCCAGCCCTTCCCCATCTCACCATGAAACCCGCCCTTGTGTACATGATTCCATCATGAGGCCCAGAACCATGATATGAAGGCTAGGAACCTGACCAGAGCCAGAAATAGGTACTTTGAGCTTGTAAACTGTGATTTCCTGAATCTCTGTTATTCATGAAGTATTTTGCTAAAACAATGGAAAACAAACCAAAACATAGTGTTTCACAAGATTAATTTAGCTAACTCTCTTTCTGCCTATCTCCATTACACAGAAGAGAAACTGAAACACACTTAGAGAACCTGGGAACTTTCCAATGGTCGTAGAATTGGGAGAGGGTAGAAGAGGAAGTCTGCCTACAGAATCTATGCCCAGGACCACTACACAACACCCATCTTCTAGATGACTTGCATCTCAAAAAGTCAGAAGGGCAGAGCGCACAGGAGCAATGCGATAGCTATGATATCACTTACCATTGGGGAAAGCTAGCACGCTGATGATGAGAAAGAAGAAAATCACCGAGAGGATGCCCCTCCAGATGTTGTCTTCAGGAACAGAGTCGTCCCTGAAAGAAAAAAGAATGAGAATTCACTTTCAGATCTAAACAGGAAACCAAAGGAGTAAGACCTTCACAGTCTGCAGACTGGGGACTGCAGAGTTTATTTTGCTGAGCAAAGTGACTACACACACTGTTCAGTATCACTTCCTAGAATCAAGAATCTCATAAGAAAGTCCAGTTCTTATGAGAAAGACAACTGGGGTCTCAGGGGACAGCTCAGTGGAACTGTACATGCTTAGCAAACACAATGCTCTGGGCTTCAACCCCACCACCAAAAAGAAATTACTATATAAATACAACTGATAATCTTCTCCAGTAATATAAATTCTACTCAAACAGACATTTGAGACTCACTATTCTGATCACAAGATTTAAAATCAGACCGGAAGTAAAAGTCTCCCCTCCTCCCGTGCCATGTGTTGCATGTATACACAGCTAGAAGCAAACTTCTGAAGCTGGGAGCTAGTCACTTCTGTTCGCTGAATTTGACACATGCTAAACACTTGGACTTTGTGGACAGACTGTTGATCTGTTGATGGAAGAGGAATATTGCTGTGTGAACCAAGAAAAGGCTCCAAATGGAAGTTTTCCTAATATTTACAGTAGGAAAGAACTAGGTTTTGACAGTTTATATTGAGAGAAAGAGAGAGACAGAGAGACAGAGACAGAGAGAAACAGACAGACAGACTAGTAAAACATTTGGGGCTCAAGAAAAGCAAACGAAAGGAGAAAACAAATATATGACAGGATTTGCTTAATTATTGATCATTTCTGAGAAGTCTAAGAGAAGAAAGTTCATCATTTCAGCTTTTTAAAATGCAGGATGAGTAGGCAGAAATACAATCTGAAGCAGAATGGAAGGCAGTGCTTTAAAAACAACGAACAAATAGCAAGAAACGACAAGTGGGAAAAGAAGTTGAAGTTGAGTCTATACAGTGAATAGGGTTTTTTATGTGCATGCACCTTCTGCCTGCATGCAAGTGCACTCGTGTCATACAAAGCCTGCAGACACCCGAAGAGGGTGTCAGAGTCCCTGGAACTGGAGTTACAGACAGTTGTGGCCACCATGTGGGTGCTGGGAACCAAATTCGTGTCCTCTGAAAGAACAGCAAGGGTCTTAATCGCTGAGCCATCTCTCAAGCCCCTCAGTGAATAGGCTTTTAAAAGATAAATATTAAGCATTACTGAAGGAAAAGTAACATTAAAAGAAAAAAATCTTAGAAGGGCCAGCAAGATGGTGCTACACAAGCCTGGTGACCTGAGTGTGAGCCCTAGAACCCACATAAAAGTGAAGGCCAAAACTGACCCCACAAAGTTGTCCTCTGGCCTCCACACACATCATGCACTCACACACAATAATAAATATTTTTTAATCTTAGAAATAAAACAAGATTTTACACAAAACAAATGTTTCATCAAAATATATGAAAAAAACATGGAATAAGACAGTGAGTTGCTTGTTAAGGACTAAGTCCTAGGGTACTGGTTTAAAAACAGAGCTAATTTAGATCCCAGCTTCTGATTAGGCAGCTAAATTTCTGCAAGTATTAAACAGCTTCTAGATTTAGGACAGGATTGAAGGCAGGTTCAAGATCATGCAATGTTTCCTAGACTATCCTATGTGCCCAAGAAGCAGCAAACTAATGCTGGTGCCTTCACAGAGCAGACTGCAAGTCAAACCACAGAAGATCTCAGGCCAGCAGTGTGTAGTTTTGCTTGAATGGATACTATCACAACTGAGCATCTATCATATGGCTCTAAAAATGTCAGCCTGATCCTTATCAGGGGACCTGGTCCTTACCAGAGGGTCTACAATGTCCTTTGGCTGACACAGGGAGGCTCCATGTTCCCCCTCTGGTCACCAGCCCTGGCCGAAGAAGCTTCCAGAGGAGCATGGTGTCTGGTTCAGACCAGCATCCCAGTACTGTTCTTATGGTAAAGGGGACAGTAACAGATTCTCTTTATCAAGTATCTGCTGTGCCCTAGGCATTCAAGAGGCAGTTAACATTATCTCTAATTGTCAGAACCAACTGCAAAATGGCTATTATCAACCACATTTTAAAAATGACACAGCAGAGCTGGAAAAACGACTCAGCAGTTCAGAGTGTGTACTGTTCTTGCAGAGGACATGAGTAGGGATCCCAGTACCCAATTCAGACAGCTTACAACTGCCTGTAACTCCAGTTCAAAGAGATCTGAGGCCTCCCTCCATAGGCACCTGCACTCACAGGCACATGTACCCCCACACAAATACGCATTCATACACATACTTAAAAATAAAAAAAATCTTAAAAAATAAATAAAAATGAAAATGACACAGAAGCACAGAAATGTTGAGCAACTTGCCCGTGGCCACACAAGTTGAGAAGTTGCCAAACTGTCCTTTGGAACAGGGCTGCTAGATCCTAAGAATGATGCTTCCCTGTGTCCAACTGCCGAATCAGCTGACACCAGAAATCAGTGAGTCACCACAGAGGCAAAAAGTTTGACAATCACACAGTATAGGTTACAAATTAAAAACAAGGCTAAAATTAATAACTGTTGTGTGGAGAAAGGGGATCCCATAATCCATGCTGTACACCAAAATATTCTAGATGCATGGAAAAAGTAAAGGTAAAAATACATACCAGAAAAATTGAGAATTAAACACAAAAATCTAGTATCTCAGAGTGGGAACAATTTACTGAAGTATAGAGCAAAACTCAGAAGCTAGAGGAAAGGAATTAATAAGCCTGCACAACAATAAGAGAGAAAGTAGGCAGCGGCAAAATCCAGGAAAGGATAAACTTGGGGAAAATATTTGCAGCTGATAGAAAGAGAAAGGGCTGAGTGTTCTAATATGCCAAGCAGTCTCAAAAATCAACTAACAGAAAACATAACAAACCAACAGGAAAAGGAGCAAGGGGTAAGAGAGCTTTCATGGGGCAGGATATGAAAGACACTCAAGGGAAGAGTTGGACAAGTTAAAACAGCATGAGAGACCACGCTGTCTACCTACTGATAAAAGTAAAAAGTGAATGACTCAGCAGCAGAGCTAGGAAGCGACAGGCAGGCAGGCACCCTAGGCATTCATGGCAGTTGTATAGATTTCATCTTTTATGGAGGGCAATTGGGCAGCATGTTGCACATACAAATGCATGCACCCTGTGACTCAGCCATTCATTCCACTCCGGAATCCCTGCTTCAGATATACTATCATTTATGTGAAAGTGAAATGTCTATCAGTTTGTTCATTGCAAAAGTATACATAGCCACAAAAGACTAGAAACAGGTCACAGGCTCATCAAAGAAATTTGATTAAGTTACCATCTGTCTCATGGTGGAAAACAACTGTTTAAAGGTAATTTATAAGACATCATGAGATGTAAAGAAAAGAGTAGGACTGTGGGTATAATAAGCAAGTATTCATACATATAGGGAGAAATATGTATAGGAATATGAGCTATGATTTGTACTTACAGCCACATAGAATGTCACTGGCCAACTACCCAAGAAACTGACTTTCTACAAAGTTGCGAAATGGGCTGGAGAGAGGTGTACACAACCCTTCACTACACAACCCTTCAGAATAACTTGGATTTTTTTTTTAACACTGTGAATAAGTGTCTACAGAAATCAGCACATCAGTGTCATGAGACTGATGAGCTGGCTCACACAGAAAAGAGCTTGTCATGCAAGCCTGGAGACCTGAGTTCTATTCCTGGAACCCATGTAAAGGTAAATAGAGAGAACCAGCTCTGTAAAAATGTCCTCTGACCTCCACACACATGCCTTGCACATGGATGCACGCACACCATACTCACACATACATAATAATAAATGATTATTTTTTACAATTATCAAAAACATTTGAAACCACACATCAATGTAAGAACTTGTGAACAGGGCCTGTGAGATGACTCAGCAGGTAAAGGAGCTTGCCATGGAGCCTGATCCCTGGGACTCACATGATGGAAGAAAGAACTGACTTCCACAAGTTGTCCCTCTGACCTCCACATGTGCACTATGGCATGCACATGCCCATATACATATACATATGCACATAATAAATAAAATGTATTTAATAAAAGAACTTGAGATTAATAATAAAGATATCAAATCAAAGCCAGGTATGTCAGAACATTCCTGAAATCTCAGCACTTAGGAGACTGATGGAGGAAGATTAGGAATTTGATCAGGAAGATTAGGAAGTTGCTATGTAGTCAGCTTGGGCTACTTCACTTTGAAACTTCATTTCAAAAAACAAAACAAAACAACCACCCAACCAACAAAAAAAACCCTGTAATCTTGTAACTTTTGAGTGATTTTATTGGGCAGAATCAAACAGACATAGTTTACTTAGTGTCAGAGAGGAAAAAAGATGACAAAACAACAGTAATAACTGAAAAGAGGTAGTTTCTTATTTGCCTAATTAGGAAAGAATGTACAAAAGATAATTAGGACTTTAATAAACTGAAAAAATACTGTACGGGGGATCACATTTCTGTACTGAACATTGGGGGGAAAGGATAGTTGAGTCTAGAAATTTGAGTCCTATCTGGCCAGAGCTCCTCCTCCTTCCCACTCTAGTATGCTTTTCTTGAGCACAGAGAAGCTGCATCTACTGCACTAGCACACAAAAGGGGTGACTGTGTTGAAGGGCTGCCCAATGCCCTGCTAGCCTCATGGCAAACCTAAGCACACAGGGTCACATTACAGTCCATCTTCTCTAAACCCCAAGTCTTCCAGAAACTTAACCTGGTATTGAGGTACACAGACATTTCTGGTTACTCACAAGCAACTTGGCCACAGGGGCCACAATAGTGATTGGAGCAATCCCACTACAGGACAAAGGCCAGTACTTACGGACATCCACTGGTTCTGTGCCTCACTGAGCAAACCACCTGCTTTGCATGTGAACCCACCCACTCCATCTTCATAACACTCTAAGGTGGGAGATGGTCAAACTGCATCGTACTGATGCAAGTTCTATCATGTGTAGGCACAGCGCAGCAACAGTACACCCC